GTTAACCAACGGACAACCAGAAATGGCACTGTGGCTCAAAGTGATAGAGTGTTAGCCTTGAGCAAAAATGCTCAGGGACAATGCTCAGGCTGAGTCCAAGCCTCATGACATACATATATACATACATACATATATACACACATACCATACATACATGGATCTCATGGACTTTCCTGGCTGGCTTCAAACCTTGTTCAGATCTCAGCCTCCTAAATTACAGACATGAACCACTAGTGCTTGGCTGCACTTAAACTTTATTGTGACACTACTGTTGATGTGTACCATTGCCAGACAGCAGATCATCTTATGGATCCATGATAAGAGCAGGAACTAAAAAAAGAGAAGAGGCATCTTATTAATGGCCTCTTTCCAGCGCACTTAGGGTGTGCTTTAAGCATAGAGAGGGGCCCAGGAGAGAAGCAGATTTCTTTTTGCTGTTTGCCCAACTTTGCTGATCTACCACTGTTGTAAATTCAGAGACATCAGCAGTTGGTGTATCAAAAGAAAATGGAAAGCTCTTAAGTTTGTGCTTCTATGTAAACCTATCTGAGACTGTGATTTCTCAAATTCTACTTTGAGAGACATTTATAAAGTAGGAAGAGAGAATAAGAATCCATTCTTAAGTGTTTTTCTTTATCCCATGGTCCCTTTCCTCTTCCTGAACCCTAGAAGGTCAGCTCTCCCCAGAATTGTACACTAAATGTGACAGGCATTTAATAAGTGTACACAAATAGATGTTAATTTGAAGATGGAAAAATCAGTGCAGTGAAAGGTAGTATAGGGTTTGTATATAGTTGAATGCTTACTAACTTGTTGGGTTAAGAAAATTCTTGCAAGAGGAAGAGTGAGTCATAGTTATAGTTCCTTTGGGGAGAGAGAGAAAGAAAATCCTCACATCAAGCTCTTCTTTATGGACTTGGAATGGGTTCTGCAGTTTGATTGATGACTGAGCCGATAAGCTTTCCCTACAAGTCATCTCATACTGTATTTGGTTTTGTCCATTGGGTGACTGGCAGAGGCTCTCTATGTTAACCGTCAGAGATAGAGCTCTGTAACTTTATTACCCTGAGAGACTTGTTTGTATGATATCATTTCTTTTTTAAGATTTTTTTTTAAAGTTGAGAAACTGGGTATGCTAAGGGTGTGGCTGTTTTGGCACTAATCTTTGGTTCATACAGAGCGATTTCCTCTCAGACCTTGCTACAACTCCACCAAGAAGAGGAGAGGAGATGAGGTAGGAGTGGGAGCTGACTTTCTGCTTTGAGCCAGAAAAAGGAAGTGGGTTACTTACATAGGAGCCATATCTTTCAGTAGGGTCTTAATGAACTGGTGTGAGTAACCTGCTATTTTAGCAGTGATCTAGCTGCTTTTATTCTTTAAGGTTGTCCTCTTTAACCTGCTTCTTATTAAATATCTTCTTTGCTCCACCTTAATGAATTTTTCTGGGCTGCTTTTCAGACTTTGGACTTTTTTACTTGCATGTGTTTTGGGATATGTAGATCTCACTTTAAAAAATTAAAGATGGCACAAGTTATAGGCAGGGAAGACAGTGCTACTTTAGCTAGTCTTATACTTGAGTTGTATCCTTTACATGGAGCTTCTTTTATACAGAGAAATAAGCCACTATTTTCTCAAACTTCTGTGTGCCAAGCTGTTGTCTCAACCATGCATGGCGGTGTGTGCCTGTAATCTCAGCACTTAAGGCTGAGGCAAGAGGATAGAATTTGAAGCTAGTTTGGAATACACAGCAGGTACTAGGGCAGTCGGGGCTACATAGCTAAGATCCTGTCTCAAGCAAGCAAGCAAAGTAGGTGTCTGTCCCAGATGGGCCTATACCTGGGTCAACTGCCACATGCCACACCTCAAGAATATCACACAAGTCTTTACTAAAAATACTGGATAGCAGAGTTGATGAACAGAAGGATAGATCCAACATCCATTGTATTTACTTAATATATTATGTGAAAATATCTTAATATACATTATGTACAACTGAAAAAATGACTTCTTTTTTCTTTTATTGTTTAGAAAGTGGTTGTGGTAGATAGTGTCTTGGTCTGAATACTTTTTTTTTTAAACCAGTTTAGGGCCTTGAACTTAGGGCCTAGACACTGTCCCTGAACTTCTTTTGCTCAAGGCTAGCACTCTACCATTTGAGCCACAGCACTACTTCTGGTCTTTTCTGTTTATGTGGTAATGAGGAATTGAACCCAGGGCTTCATGCATGCTAGGCAAGCACTCTACCGCTAAGCTACCTTCTCAGCCTGGTCTGAATACTTTTGTCCTACCCCCCAAACCCATTCACAGGTTGAAATGGAATCACCAATGTGATGGTATTAAGGAAGGGACCTTTGGGAGGTGATGTGATCATGTGGAAAGAGCCTGGAGAAAAGAGGCTCCAGAGGTCTGCTTGGCCTTTTTTTTTTTTTTTTTGTCAGTCTTGGGGCTTGAACTCTGGGCTTGGGCTCTGTCCCTGTGCTCTTCAGCTCAAGGCGAGTGCTCTACTGCTTGAGCCACAGCGCCACTTCCGGTTTTCTGGTGGTTTATTGGAGATAAGAGTCTCATGGACTTTCCTGCTTGGGCTGGCTTTGAACCACGATCCTCACAACTCAGCCTCCTGAGTAGCTAGGATTATAGGCGTGAGCCACAGGTGCCAGGCCTGCTTGGCCTCTTGTACCACTTGAGGCGCACCTGGAGGGAACCAGCTATGTTGTCAGCATGCACATGCTCAACAGACTCTGGATCGTCTGGCCTCTTGATCCTGGACATAGAAACATTTTCCCTTAGGCTATATCAGAATGATCTCATAGGGTTAAAAGAAAATGGAAGAGGAAATGTTTTAAACTCAACTTAGTGTGAACAATTAGTATCTGGAATACATAAGTGGAATCTTATAAAGAAGAGAGAGCGAGCCCAATATAAAAATAAGGCAGCAGATTATTTTCAGGAAAAGGATGCCATTGGCCAGTGGGCATATGAAAAACTTCATCAATAATTCAAAATGGAAATGAAAGCCGAAGTGAAATACCATTCATATATACCTAAATGGCGCAGAGTAAAAGCTCATAATGCCAAGTTAGTAAAGAATTGTCTTGTATTGAATCTTGTAAAGATGTAAATCGATGCAATCCCTTTGAAAATAGTTTGGTATTATCAAATAAAGTTGAGTGTAAGCATACCCTCTCTCCAGAAATTCTGTTCCTACTTTTGAACTTTGCAGAAAAGCCTATTCATGTATGCCAGGAAATAAGTAAAGAGGTTTTGTGTTTTGTTTTGTTTTGTTTTTGGGGGTCCGGTCGTGGGGCCTGAACTCTGGACCTGGGCGCTGTCCCTCGGCTCTTCAGCTCAAGGCTAGCGCTCTACCACTTGAGCCATAGCGTCATTTCTGGCTTTTTCTTTTTGTTTATGTGTTGCTGAGGAATTGAATCCAGGGCCTCAGGCATGCAAGGCAAGCACTCTACCACTGAGCCACCTTCCCAGCCCTTTTTTGTTGTTGTTGTTGTTGGTTGTGGGGCTTGAACTCTGGGCCTGAGTGCTGTTCCTGAGCTCTTCAGCTCAAAGGTAATGAGGTTTTTTTACAGCAAAAAAAAATAAGGAGGAAAGACTACCAGTACCTTAAATGTCTTCTGTGTAGAAATGCAATTGAAAGAAGCATGATTAACTCAAAAAATATTAAACAAGAAAAGTAAGTTATAAGAGGAGATATAATGCTCTGTAGGCCTCTTTACCTAAGAAATGTTAAAAAAGGCAAACTGTCTGGGCGCTGGTGGCTCATGCCTATAATCATAGCTACTCAAGAGGCTGAGATCTGAGGATCACAGTTCAAAGCCATCACAGGCAGAAAAAAGTTGGACTCTTATCTCCAATATACTACTCATAAAAGCTAGAAGTGGAGCTGTGGTAGAGCTCTAGTCTTGATCAAAACAAGCTTAGGGTCAGCACCCAGGCCCTGAATTCAAGCCCCAGAATTGGCACACACATACACAAAAAATCATATATATGCCAGGTAAATAGTTATAATTCAATATAATGGCTACCATAGGGGAGATAGACATCTATGTTGGTGAATATGGGGGCATTGGTAATGACCTATCAAGTGGGGCTCCATGTTTATGTTTATATCTGTTTGTTCATTTATTTTTATTTTTGTGCTAGTACTGGGGCTTGAACTCATGTCCCTTAACTTTTTTTTTCATAAGGCTAGCCATTTCTTGCTTTTTGTTGGTTAATTAGAGATAAAAGTTTGGTAGATATATTTGCCAGGGCTGGCTTCAAACTTGCATCCTCAGATCTTAGCCTTCCCAGTAACTAGGATTACAAGTGTATGCCACTGGCAGCCAGCCACATTTTTTTTCAAGTCTGTTTCAGAAACCTTTTTCGTCGCAAAAGTCCACTGCATCTCTGGGGAGTATATTGTTATTCCCCTGTATTAAGCCACATTGTTCTCTAGATTGCAGTAAAACAAATGAAACTTAAATGTACTATGCAAAGGGCTCTGGTAGAATAATTTGTAGTCATTAAGGGAAATTTTTTTGGAGGGGGTGGGGTTTCAACTCAGGGCCTAGGCACTGTCCCTGAGCTCCTTTTGCTGTACTACTATGAGCCACAGCTCCACTTCTGGTTTCTGGTGGCCAATTGGAGGTAAGAGTCCCATGGGGACTTTATTGCCTGGGCTGGCTATGAACTGCCATCCTCAGATCTCAGCCTCCCAATTAACTAGGATTACAGGCATGAGCCACCAGCACCTGTGGGAAAAATTTAAATTTAGGCTATCTTGTAATTTGTTTTGTCCCTAAGATTTATGTAGCTGTTTTAATGGGTTTGAATTTTAATCCTGCACATTTGATTATTTTGTCAATAAAGAAAAGTAAATGTATTGGATAATCCATAGATAACAGTAGACTGTTACACTACACGGAATTTGTGTTTCACTTTCTGTAATAAGAAGTGCAAGTAGATAAGGTAAATAATATTTACATGTTTTTGTTTTTCTTCCACAGCTGTAAGGAATTATAGAAATCACCTCTTCCTGTTCTGCATAGCAGGTGACTCATACACAGCAAATCATGGCACTCCCATTTCGGAAGGACTTAGAAAAGTACAAGGACCTGGATGAAGATGAGATTCTTGGGAACCTGTCAGAAATGGAACTGAAACAACTGGAAACTGTTCTGGATGATCTTGACCCTGATGTAGGTGCAAGCCTGGGCTGGCTTCAAACCTTGATCCTCAGATCTTGACCTCCCTGAGTCTCTGGGATTACAGGTGTGAGTAGCTCACACCTACTTTTGTCTCCTGCCTTACTGGCATCTCAGGCCCAGGCCACCACACTCACTATTAAGTGAGATAGGAATCTTACTTTTTGCCTAGCTGGCCTTGAACCATGGATACTCCCAATTACTACTGTCTTTATGACACCACTATTCTAACCTGTCTTCTCAAACATCTCCTGATTTTTTGTTTTTTGTTTTTTTTTCCTCTAAGAAAACTTTTTTTCTCTTTGCTGGGAAGAATGTTTTTAAAGGCATAGCAGCTGATTAGCTCTTTGAGGTAGGCTAATCTCTGTTTCGAGGAAGTATTTGACAGGCAAAGGGAGGAGAAAACGTCTGTCTGACTATGGTGGGTGAAGCTACAGGGGAGTGAGAATGAGGGGTGAAGAGGGTCAGGCATCTGATGCCTCCCCCTCTGCATCCATGCACTGAGAGGCAGGTCACATGAAAACCCAGGGAGGCGGGCCTTGCTGTGGGTGTCTTCGGGTGCATCAAGGCAGTAATTTCTACAGGTATGTCCTTGTAGAAGCTTTCATGTTGTATTTAAACATAAGCAGGCAAACATTAATCTTCTGATAATAATGTACATTATCTCCACATTAATGTGCATTTTTTCATGAGAAAGACTCCATAGTTAAATGGAAGTCATGAAGGAATATTATCTATAACTGCTTAAAACTCTTTTGTGATACTTTTCTATATATGTATTTGCTGAGTAGTTATTAAAACCTCTTGCTGTGTAGCCTCGGCTGGCCTCAAACATGTGAGTGCAGTGCTGGAATAGAAGTGTGCCCCCAGGCCCAGGCTAAGATTTTGTTAGTGAGTTCTAAGACAACCAGGACTACATAATGAGACCCTGTCTCAAAAAAATAAGACACTGGTCTGGGAAGGTGGCTCAGTGGTAGAGCGCTTGCCTTGCATGCACGAGCCCCTGGGTTCGATTC